TGAAAACGGCATAAAAGAGACTCCATTCCTTAGTATTTAATACCAAGGAATGGAGCCCGTGTGCTAATAGAACACGGGCATGCTATGCTATGTCAAGATGCGCGTCTTGTTACTATGCGTAAATTCTCATATATTATATAGAGTGCGATTTATGCTTTCATTTGACTTCGACGTCGAACTTTGATGTCGGCACCGGCAAAGGCGTTTAATGTCGGCACCTTAGTGAATGCGCTGAAGAGAAGAGAACCTTCAGAAGTTGGGTGTAATCCGCCGAGAATGTTTCTCTTCCACCGGAACAGTGAAGTGCCTGTAACTTTTGTGTACAATTTTTTTCTTGGAGGATCTTCGAAACTTTGGCGCTATCACCACCGAAGGGGAGTATCACACACCGTCGCCGCCGACTGATTCAACCGTGGCCGCAGCCGTTCTTTTTAATAACGCTAATATCTATGTCCAATTTCTCTGTTCAAGGTAATATCGACACATTGAATGAAAAATTCGAGGCAGAAGCTTTTATAGAAGCAGAATGGTTTGACACAAAGTTTCCAGCCGATGCCCAAAACTACGATGTACAAGTTCACTGGAATCCAAAATTATCAGTAGATAATTCAATAGGCGAGCTAAAAGATGAACGATATTATACAATAAATCGTTCGTCACCAGCAAATGATGGTGGTCATATTACCGAACATCGGAAGATAAAAGGTGTCTTTTGGGAAAAGTTAGAATTGCATGATGTACGTAACTCGATTTAATGAAGTATAGATCTATGTGAAACCTATCATAGTATATATAGAAGAGTTGACGCCAGTGTTTCATTTTGTAGAACTGGACGGCCTCTATAGATTGTTGAAAAGCTATTGAAAAAAACGTTATAAGCATTTTATTCTCACAGCGGATTTTAGCCAATTTGTAAAGCGTCTACCAGACACATTCCCTAACGTAAAAGTTCGACGTCGAAGTCAAATGAAAGCATAAATCGCACTCTATATATTCCGACCAAGAAAGCTTTTGCGCGAGCATAAAGTCTCAGGAGACGGGATTAGCGCTGTTTTCAACCAGGCTTATCTCTTTTTTGTATAGTAGCTGAATTTCGAACTTTAAATAATTTTATTAAAAAAGGATAAAAGAAATTAGAAAAGAAGGAATGGTACAAACGAAGAGACGATGATTTCGTGTCCACATATCGCGAAAGACGACTGACTAGTGTTACTAATTATTTACTATCTTTTTAAAATATAGCAGAGTGAAACAGAGAAAAATGTGTCGTGAAAAAATAGTTGTTTCATTTACTAGTTAGACTAATCTTGTACAACGAAAATATATAGGAAGGAAAGAAAGAAACGAAGGGAAAAGTTGCACCATACTGCTCCAACTCTTTAAAGTAATATATTAAAGATGGTTTCAAGTTGAAAGCGCGTTGAAAACAGTTAAGGTAGAAAATGCATATATGAAAAAACGAAAAGAAAAATTATTACCAAAAGACGATCAGAGTGATCTCTGACATTTCTGAAAAACCGCATGTTCTAGTAAACTTTTCCATTCAAACTTTATTTGAAAAGTTTAGAAGCTTACTGTCGGATAGCGCATTCACTCCTCTGCAAATGAGATATCAGGAATACACAGGAATCGAAATGGTTGAGCTAGTATCTTCTAATCTGTAGTTTAAGGAAACTGCGAAATGTCTCATTTTATATACAATTTAACACACCACCCGACACTGTATTTCAAAACTTTTTCGAATGCAGTTTGAGTCAAAATTGATTTCCAAAAAGTCGATTATTCCGAGACTCGTATTCTGAGACTCAGCGCTTGCATATGAGCTTTCGTGCTCGGAGAAATAGAGTCTGGTATACCTTTCATTTAACAATAGCCTTCAACTTTTACATAGGGAGTGTGTCTGCCAGGAGTTTCCCAAGTTGACAGAAACCCGTTGAAAGAGAATGAAAAGTCTAGAACTTTTTTCCTTAGTTAGCTGCTGTAATAGTCAATGACGGCCTAGAATAGTCAGAACTGAAGGTGTGTGGGAGACCAAATTTGTAGAGTCTGTTCGAATACTTCGAAAAAATCGATAAAAAGCCAAAAAACTGTCGGATTTTGGCACAGATTGTGGCTTGGAGTCATTTTTGCAACGAAAAATATTTATTGTCAAGAAAAATTTTGGAAAAAACATTTTTCCTCTACGGAATGGTGGCAGGACCTGGGATTATAAAGTTGCGAAATTCGGATTTTTGCCAATAGACTTAATTTGTCGCGCTGTACAAAGCTGTCGGAGATCTTGACAGTGGTACCAACCCATCTGGATGTAGTACTCGATACTTGATGGGTTTTTTCAGCTGCTGAATTACTGTAAAACCTGCCGACTGTATCTTTTCAAGTTTCCATTCGACGTTCAAGATTTGACGATCAAGGTGACAAGTGATTACCTGGCAGAAGATATCGCACTGAAGGAAAATTTCGATCGTCCATCTTCTATAAATCGTCGTGCATTCACTGCTCAACAAGAATGGAGTCTCTTTGAACATGTAGAAGTCAGCCATCAGTTTGTGGTCGCTGGTACGTATGCAACGGTAATACTGCAACCGGTTCTCACCGGTAACGAATAATTCACTAATCGGTAATTAACCAGTAACAAAGTATTAGGTTAGCGGTGACCGCTGATTACCGTTCATCGGTGAGAATCAGCAACGGTAAATCTCGATTCACATTGAACGTACTTGAAAACATGAATTAAATATGAATATCTTATCCTGGAGGATTCATGATTGAATCCACGACCGAATGAAAACATATGCTTTTGGGAAAACTCATAATTAGAGAGAAAACATGTAATTTACTGGTTTCTGACTAGAGAAGCGTCGATTGGAACAAAGTGCATAAGTACCTATACCAGTGCTCCAAATTTCAATTAATGCACCAATAGTAATTTGCGGCAGAGCCATAGTGGTAACGATTGCAACGTTCCTCCAAAATTTCCATGAGTAGGCTTGTTCTTGCAAAACAATGAGATCTCCCATTCCATTCAGTGAAAACCATGAAGTTTCAACAATGGCGGGATTTTTTTGTGCTTTTAATGTACTTTCAAGACTGGAGAAAAAACAGTCTGGTGTTTCAAATCTTTCAATGCCACAACAGAGTTGTTCGAGACTTTCCCTGATAAAATCTAAATTTTCTTTCTTCGTTAGACGATCACGATGTCGAGCAAAACTATGTTGGAAATAAACAAAGTGTGCAGAATTCAACCTTGAACAAAATGGAATCCCTTTATACTCCGTGGATTTCTTGGGGAAACGCTAACTTTGATATAATGAGTTTCATCTGACTTTTGGTGGGCTACAAAATAATGTTAAAATTCAATTCTGCACATTTTAAAACCAGTTACAATTAACTTTTTCTTGTCATTTGAGAATAAGAAAAAAATGGAAAAAATCTTCGGAATAAATTTTCGACATTATTGTTTAGCGCATCAAAATTTGTCAGCTGCTTCGTTCGTGGTCAAAAACCGCAACTTATCAAAAGTCAGAGTTTGGTCGTGTTTGCTACTTTTTAATTTTTATTGATTAATCCAGTGAATTTTACAAAGACTGCTATCCATCAAAGCAGCTTCATTGAATCATGATACTGAGATTAGTATTGAGGTCAAATGTTCCCTACATGAAGACCTGCTGAACACGTCCGTCAGAAACTGCAGCAAAAGGTTTAGACAATTCCATACCTTAGGTTACGGCAAAGCAGGTTTAGCATGTCTCGCTGTAGATGATGCGAAAGATACAGATGCTTTTGCATGTCCGGTTGGAAGTAGGGCTAGATCTTTATAGTCGAAATGATCCTAGTCGTGAAACTCCTTTATTGAGGCGAGATAAAGGTACTCTAACGGCGCACAGAACTTCATAACAGTTCCGGGATATGTATATTGGTTTTGTCCTGCTTCTATGTAGCGGCGGTACCAGGAATTGTAGCCAGGGTGGGCTCAGTCCGACTGTACTCGGAAAGGAAAAGGGTAGTGTTTATTTTTCCCAACCAAGTTAATTTCTCTCCCTACCTACGCCGCTCTTAAACTTTCGTACAGACAAGAAAAGCTACAGAAAAGAAAAAAAAAATTTTTCAGGGTGGGCTCAGCCCACCCTAGCCCACCAGTGGTACTGCCACTGCTTCTATGGTTGTTTTGCAAATCTTCATTCTCGTTTCCAAGCAAGATGGAAGGGAGTCTGTTAAGAGAAAAGCTATATTTTCTTACTACCCTTCTTCGGCTTTTGTTTGTTTTATTTGTGATTCAACCTTCATTACACTTTATCTTACGTTTCGGTGTTTAGATCATTAATAGAGATGATAAACGCGGAATGGGAAATGAATTATTATAAATTATTTTCGAAAAATCAAGTTACTTCAGATTTCCTGTGCCTTAGCAACAGTATTAGAGATTTCTTGACGACAGGTCTTTTGAACATGCTCCTTGCGAATTTTACACCATTTACTAGTAGCCTTCTGTCACTACTTCGAGCCGCCAACCTCGGAGGAGACGGTAGGTTTTTGCCACTGACGACAACGAAGATGATAGTCGCGTGCATTCTGGAAAAAGGTTAACGGACACTCGAGACTGTTTGATGTTTGTTGTTAATGTAGAGGCATCCCACCTTTTAGTCTTCTTGAGAGATTTAAAGCCTCAAGACGACCTGTGTGCCCAATCACACGGTTCCTGGCAATGTTAGAGGTGGTCGAGTAAAGGTTGGACTTAATCAGCCACGTGTTCCTAAATCCCTGGTTTGCAGAACTTCAAGTCAGACTCCGCTTATAGGTTTTATACTTAGGGTTGACCAAAAGTTCGTAGAACGATAATGCTCGCTCTCCTCACACCGTGATCAAACTCTTTGGTTAGCTCTAAGTATATCCTGATAGCGCTTGAATTTCTCTATCGTCCTACATATTTGTCTACTGTCTTGCATTTATCTATTGCAGAAATAACTTGAGTACAATGAAGATACCCTCAATTGACAAGTACGAAAATTCGCTACTTTTTATGCCTTTTCAAATTATAGATACTATGGAAATAAATCTTTCTAAAAGGAATTAAACATTCTAATAGAGCTTCAAATTCTCTATCATCCTGTATATTTTTGTTCTATCTTGCATTACTGTGCTGAAGAATATTTTGACTATCATGCAGGCACGCTTGTCAATTGAGGGTGTCTTCATTGTACTCAAGTTATTTTGCAATAGATAAATGCAAGACAGTAGACAAATATATAGGACGATAGAGAATTTTCAGCGCTATCAGAATATAGTTAGGGCTGACCAAAAGTTTTGATCACGGTGTAAGGAGGGGAGGGCGGAATCACCGTTCTACGAACTTTTGGTCAATCCTAAGTATAAAAATTCTACTTATCACTGACTGTAGTGTTGAGTGAATTGACCCGATAAATCGAATATGGTATATGGGCTTTACCAACCTACTTCTCTGGTGAGAAAACAGTAATTACGCGTTTTTTCGCTAATAATGAGTCTTCCCAAAAGCATATGCCTTTCATTCGATTGTGGAATTCGATAATTACCGTTAACGTTGGTATCTAGTAGCCGATGATTTATCAACCACCACAAAACTCAAACTACATCCATCCTTGGAATTTATGTGTCGTGCCAAACGGATACCAACCTACTATTATTGGAATGGGCTTTTTCTGATCTTTCTCATTACGATCTTTGTATTTCCGATCTTTGGCATGGATCCGCCGTAAGTAGATGCCGTCAGAAGAGAGTGCTGTCACTGTCTTTCCAAGGTTTTTTGATGACTATAGATCGACTCGTATTATTCCAACTGGTACTGTTCTACTGACAAGCATTACATTTCGTTGGACGTTGAATCGATCATTGCCAGTAGGTAAAACGTTTTTCTATCAAAATATTTTTAAAAAAGGAAGGAAAAAGCGAGAAGGTCCAAGCCAACTTAAACGCAGTCTGGAACACAGTTTCAGTGATGAAGATTGTGTGTTTATTAGCAAAAAGTAATGAAAATTATTCACTAATGGAACAAACTTGAAAAGTAGATGTTTCAAAAATCAGAGCGATGAAGAAGCTTCGGTTTTGGTTCTGGCGTTCGACCCTAAATTGTAGTTCCAGAGCCGCGCTTGTCTCACTTCTGGAACCGATAATCGAACATTCCTTCTTGTTTGATTTTGTGGAAAGCGCTTAATTTTCAGTAAAAAATTAAATTTCGTAAAAGATTCAACATATTTTGAAGTTTGCTTATGATGAAGTTACATGTCCTCACGCAAAAAAGAATCTAGGTTTACAAAACGAAAAGTCGAACTTTTAGTTGCTGCTTCTGGTGCTAAAATTTTAATGATAAAAAATGATTTGCTTACTTTCTGAAAAGTCTCGTGTTCTTCAGTTCTACAATGGATAATGAAAATATTTAGTTTGAAAACTTCGGATTAAAATCGGCATTCTAACTCTCTGTGTTTTCTACATATTTTAAATACAAAAAGATTTTTCCGTAACTTAGCAGTTGTTTTGTATTTTTACTTAAGACTGTTTCATATTTAACATTGCTCGATCAGTATTCGCTGATCTGTATCATTTTCGTTTTTATCAATGCAGTTTACCATGGATTATTGGCCTTCCTAACACAACGCAAGGATATTAAGGTCGACCTATGGATTGATTGTACAATATTCTTTGCCTTTTGGGATCGTTCATTATTCTCAACGTATTTTTCGTGATTTGGCTTTATGCCGTTCGCTACAAACGAAGACGACAAATGAAACAGCGCGATCTGGACTATTCAAAAAGACGAAAGTTGCATATGGAACAATCTTACGATGAACGAAAACAATTAACATTTCATTGAAACAATGTATCTAATTCATACAAATCCAGCGGTTTTTTTACTAACATTATAGTACTAAACAAGTAGCGCCATCCTTGGGATTGCTTGACTGCACGAAATAAAAATAAAGAGCTATTTTCCGAAGAACACTAAAAACGATGACTAAACAAGAAAAAACAATCCCTGAACAAATACAAAATGTCTATCGACATAAATACTCTATGCGAATTTATATCTCTTCCTTGCCATTTTCTTGTCCAGTGGGAATAATGTATTCACACGAGAATTATGCTAGTCTTATGATAATCTTAGTTATTTTTTCCAGAGGTTTTATCTCAAAAGTTCCAGAGATACTTTGGAAAATTTTTGGACATTTTTCTCTAAACTATCATAGAAATAAAAAATACCCAAGCCTTGAGTCTCTTTAAATAGAGAAAATAAATCTAGAAAATGGGAACACTTACTCTTCCAAAAAGCAAAACACACAGCAAGTCTGAACGTTTGAAAATTGACTTTTTGTGACAAAAAGATGACGCAGGAAATAACTGAGAGTAGCTTTTCATAGTTATCGATTACGGTTCATCGGAGGCGCATGTGCCAATTGACAAATTGATCAACTGAAAAATGAAAAACAATGTTTTTTTTAATCGTCAGAGCCTTTAGATTAACCTCTGAAAATCCTCAAAAGCTATCAAAAAACTACTGCACGTTCTTATAAAAAAATTTTTTAAAGTAGAATGCAACTCAACAGTATTGAATAACTTGTGGTAAAGAAATAATAAAGAGCTAATTTTTTTGTTATTGTATAGCCTAAACCACTGCATTCGTATATGCAAAAGTTCATAAAATCTGATTTTTCAAACACTGTAGTTAATTGGTCTTCGAACAACGACAAAAACGATTCATCTGCAATATTGCAATTCATCCTAGCATCATGGTTAAATGAACATCTTCCAGGGTCTCAAAATATGTCTTACACAGTGAGATTTTGAAAATGTTTTTCTAGCTATCTGTCAAACTTGAAATTTATCATCATTTTATATGTTAGTAGAAATGAAGTCAATAACAAGCACAACAAATCCCAACCATACATAAATACTGCAAAAATAAATTCCGCTCAAGTTTTGAATTTGAGTTTGAAATTTAACTCTTTCATCGAAAACGATATTTTAGTTCAATAATTGTGCTATCTGGATCACACTGATGGTGTGATTTGTGTTAATCATGTTGGTAATGTAAAAAGAGCCTATAGAGAATGTATTGCTCTTGCTTTGTTATGACACGACACGCAGAAATTCTAAAATGCCACTGATTGTTGAACAAAAACAACAATCGGCGTTTTAATCCTATGCATATATTGAATTTGAAAAAACTTCGTTATTCTTTTCTTTCTCGGTGGGTCAACTTCTCCTGAATTGACAGTATGGTTTTAATGTGTTCTTCTATCATTTTAGGACGTTGATAATGATACAACAGCCTCCACCAAAATCCACAAAAGTTATCATCCTGTCGTAAATCAGCTCCTAAACCACACGATCAAAATCCACATTCAGACATGAGACAACCAAAAAATCCAAAACACACAACTTATGATGCTGAACATCATAACCTACTGAATCTGATAAAGATAACGATATTTTAGAATCGTTTCTTAGTAGTGGCGGTAGTTTATCTGTCGAACAAAAGGTAATGGAGATGATTATGATTCAAATTTCAATTTGAAGATCCGATGCTTGTAACATTCGGTAAAGTACATCAAGCTATAAATGTACAAAACATTTCAGCGTTCCCTGACGAGTTTTGACAAAGAAATTTAACTCCTACATCGAAAAGGATATTTTAGCTGAATAACTGTGCTATCTCGAGTGTTTGCTAGGGCTGTCGATCGGATGTCGTTGGCGTTAAAAACGTCACTTGATGAAGAAACAGTAAAACAAAAAATCTTAATGATAAATAGATTACGGGGTATCTAATGCACATATAACCAGTGCTTTGTGAGAATTTGGGTTTCCAGAGGACCTTCAGAAATGTTTTTTAATAAACATTCAGACTTTAGCTAAAACACGAGGCTTTTATAGACAGTCCCCAAACAAAAAAATGCCTCTGAGAATATCTAGCTATAAAAATATGTTATCCGGCAATATCGGCTTGTGATAGCTAGCTATCCGTACCACTTTTATTGCGTTAGCCAGCTATATCGGGTATGGTAGCTAGCGACCAGATATCGTACCCGATATATCGGGTTGACGAAAAACACTGATCAGAGTAGCAATTTAGTCGATATATTGATCGATTATTGCCCGATATATTGTGGACAGTGTCTCATGCCACTGCATCACTAGCTATGAAAGTAGATACACTGGCCAATTATTGCCCGGTATATTATATGAATAGTGCCCAATCTAATTAGGCACTAGATATTGAACCAGGTATATTGATCGATTATCGCACGATATATTGACTTATGTATTGACAGCATGAAGGATACCATCTACATTGCATCCCGGGATGTCTGTATACAGACATCCTGCTTCCTGT